ATGACATGTCAGAGGTTGCTCATTATACATGACCGGTACAAAGCAAGCCCTTGAAAGGGAAAACTGGCAGAATAAGGAGATCACTAAGAATAAGGGAGGGGCACCTGAGCGGCTCAGTTGATCGGGTGTCTGACTCTTGATTTTGGCTCAGGACATGATCTCAGCGTCGTGGGATCCAGCCTCGTGTTGGGCTCCGCACTCAGCAGGGAGCTGCTTGGGATTCTCCCTCTGCCGCTCCTGCTGTGTTTGTGCGCGTGCGCACTCTCTCGCTCTCAAATCTTAAAAAAAAAAAAAGGGAAAGTACTAGAAATGCCTTGAAAACCACCACTCCTTATATCAAGAGGTACCATGTAGAGGCTTTTACAACTTTGTGGAAAGGAAAAAATGAGTTCTATTTGGAGCTCTTCTTTGCAGCACATTTATAACATTGGCTCAGGATGTATGGAGTGGCACAATAATATCTGTGGTCTAATAAAGACTTTTAGGGGCATCTTCTTTAGAGTATTCCAATAGTTTCTCTTGACCAATAATATACGTATTAAACTAAAAAACAATATCTATACCTGTACTGGTGTGTGAGGACTGCTGCTGTAACAAAATACTGTAGATTGAGGGGCTGAAACAATAGACATTTATATTTTCATGATTCCAGAGACGAGAAGTCCAAGATGAGGGAGGGGAGTTAGCAGGGTCTATTTCTTCTGCAGCTTCTCTCCTTGGCTTGCAGATGGCTGTCTTCTCCCTGGGTCTTCGCAGACCTTCCCTCCATGTGTTCCAGGGTCCTCATCTCTTTTTTTTTTTTCCCCTTAAGATTTTATTTACTTATTTGACAGAGAGAGAGAGAGCGAGAGAGAGGGGCAGGCAGAGGGAGAGGGAGAAGCGGGTCAGCCACCGAGCAGGGAGCCCAACGCGGGGCTCGATCCCAGGATCCCGGGACCATGACCAAAGCTGAAGGCAGACGTTCAACCCACTGAGCCACTCAGGCGCCCCACTCATCTCCTCTTCTTATAAAGATCCCAGTCGTATTGGACTAGGGCCTAAGTGCCTTAATGACCTAATTTTACCTCAGTCACCTCTTGAAACACCCTATCTCCCTGTATTATTGTAATACACACAATCCAGTCACATTCTGAGGTACTTACTGAGATTGAGGACTTCAACATATGAATACGGGGGGGGGACCCAATTCAACCCATCACCACATCTGTATCTACATTTATATCTCCATCTCTACCGATCTCATCATCTGTGGGTCTTATTTGAGTCTGAAATAATAACCCTTCCCAATCCTAATGGAGGACAGTAACAGGATTCCTATCTAATTTCCCACCTTAATTAGCATGTGGCCTGTTAGCACAAATTTATTAGGAATGAGCATTCTCACAGCCAACCATGAGGCGGTTCCCGGACTCCTGAGACCGGCCGCTCCATCAGTGCCGGGGAGGCTGAGCACCGCAGGGTAAGTCACCAAGCTCCTGGCCGGCTGTCAAAGCCTGTGCAGATGTCAGATCTGAAAAGGCACACTGCGGGCAGCAAGAAAGAGGCTTGCACTGGAAAGCATACCTCTGGTCTCCATTCTTCGGTTCTCTCTGAGGCGGACTAACGGCGGACACTTGTCAGTATGCAGGAGGTGCAGATGTGAATGTGGGGCAATGATTTGCTCCCTTTAAGGAAGCAGCCTGGGTGAAACTAGACCATGGAGGATTTTCTTTTTTTCTTCTTTTTAAGGAATCCAGTTTATCCAAGAATTTGGCATCTTCCCATACACCTCCCTTCCTCCCTTCCTGCCTCCTTCTTTCCTTTGCTTCCTGTCTCCTTCTCTCAATTATTCATACAGTGAGGGCCTGCTCTATATAAGGCACTCTGCTTAAGGTCCTGTGGGGGATAGAAAGGTGACTCAGAGGTGCTCTCTGCCTTGCATGTTGTGTTCTGATAACCGCATCCCCGATCTCATTCGGGTTATGCTTTCAGGGAAACCTGAACGCCATCTTGGCTAACAGTGTGCAGATCTCTGCCCCCTCCATGCCCCCCCCCACCCCGTGAAATTGGCAGGACTCTTACGTCAGCCCCTGGCCACCTTCTCACACCTCCTCCCTCTCAGCCAGTGCCCGAGGAAGCGCCTGACCCCTCTGGGCCTGTGGTGATTACCATGCTGTCTTGCCTCCCAGGCTGCTTTATTTTCCTCTTTTTCTCAGCTGTTCCTTTGGATTCCTCCCACTTCTTCCTCTTCTCATTTTCTTGATTCACAGTGATCATCTCCGATGAGCCAGCTTCGTGTGAAAACATGAAGGTTCTAATGATCTGCTTCCTCTCTGCCCACTGTTATTTATTCCAGGGAACACAGATATCTTCAAGAACTCCCTCCTGGGAGCCAAGGGTAAAAAGAAGGCATCATTTGTCCCTTTCCACAGCCCTCATCCTATCTGAAAGTTATTTCTCAACCACTGAACAGTGGGTGGTATACTTGTTTTCTAAAGTCAGGAGTGGGAAGGTCATGAAGGGTAAAAGATGAACTTCCACAATGTGATTGAAACCTTATCTGCAGGTTATAAAGTGTTGAGATTCATCTCTGGAGTAGAATCCAAAATAAGCACATATTCTACTTAAAACTTAGCTGGGAAGAAGTGGTCAGACCGTTTTTTTTTTTTTTAAAAAAAAAAACAAAACAGACACAGCCAGAATGTGTGTTCTCTCCACCCTTGCCAACCCCTGGGAAGACCACCTCCCTCCTCTCCTGCTAATCAGATCCATGCCCTGGGCAAAGTCCTACTCGGTGAGGGCTGCTTGGGCATCCCTGAGCTCCTTGTGGTCCAGCCTCTGTCTAAGCCAACTTCATACCCCAGCAACAAGCAGAGACCAGTATCTGATAGGGACTCAATAGAAATATGGGGAATGAATCCAAGAACTTTCTCTAGCCTTCTGCAATTACTCCCCTGCTTAACTCTAGCATATTTAGTATCTGTACCACTCATTTGAACACCGATGCACCTCTGACTTGTTAATTAGCCCCTTTAAGACTGAATGCTTTGTCCTTCCCACACAGATTGCCAGCTTCCTGGGGAGAAGGACAGTGCTTCATTTCCCCCCCATGTTTCTATTGCCTAGTACAGAGATGGTGCTCGCAGATAATGTTGATTGAAACACTGTTCCTTTTTGCTTGACAGCAATGTCTGTTGGGAACCAGGTTTGGAAAACTGATTTTTTTAATTTTATTTTATTATGTTAGTCACCATACATTACATCATTAGTTTTTTGTTTTTTTTTTTTTAAAGATCTTATTTGACAGAGAGAGACACAGCGAGAGAGGGAACACAAGCATTGGG